GGTACACATTTTTCCCTCTCCCTCTTCAACTTCCCTTTAAATTTGATTGATACTAATTAACGTTTGAAATCTTGTTACAGTTGGTAGCCAGCATGAAGGTTAAAATGGGAAACCAAACGCCAAGTTACCCGTATTTGTTCAAAATCGTTTGCTTTTACTTGGTGCTTCAGTTCGGCATGACTTTATCCCAAGGACCAAAGTGCCCTTTCAGCTATTTGTACCACTTTGGAGATGGCTTCACGGACATAGGCAACTGCATTCACGTGGTCCCGAAGCTCAAAATTCCGCCCGGGGGATGGCCTTACGGCAAAACCTTTCCTGGTTATCCTACTGGCCGTTGGTCGGATGGCCGTGTCGATTTCGATTTCACTGGTACAATAGGAATATATTTATTTCAAAAAAATTATATTAATCATTGATATTGCACGTACTTTCAGTTATAATTTCATTTTACTAAAATTTCGAATCAATTTGCAGCTGTGGATTTCGGTCTGCCTGACATTGTACCGTATTTGGGCATGAATAAGTCGGCGGCAGCTAGCCATCAGGGGGTGATATTCTCGACGGGGGGAAGCCCAGTGCTCGACCTCACTTTCTTCCTACGCCGGAACATTGTTATTCCACCTTACGCTCTCTCACTTAAACAACAACTCGTTTTGTTTCGGGAACACCTTGACTACGTGTGCAGCTCACCAGCGGGTAATTTAAGGCACAGTTGGCGTAAAATTTAAGGCACATTTGAAAACGATCTTGCTAGAAAATAGCTTGTGAGTCCTTCATACTAAACCAGTTGGTTTTGGGATGGCACCTCCAAACTTCATTTGGGATGTCCCTCCCTGTTATGATGCGTTTCAAGAGTACCGTACCCGTTTTTCCCCTGTTTCTTACAGATCTTATGCGATAGAATCATTCATTAATATTTATTTATATTTTTGTTAGAATGCTCGAAATGGATTGGAGAGTCTATGGTTTTGATGGGAGACATCGAAGGCAACGACATCGGGTATGCGCTAACTCAAGGAAAGTCTATCCAAGAAGTCAGATCCTATGTGCCTGCTATTGTCAAGACTCTTATTGATGTGTCAAGGGTAATATTAACTTTAAGTTAACGTTTTCTCGATCGAATATATAATATAACGACTAGCGGATTTCCCTTAATTTGTTGATGGAAAACAGGAGGTCATCAAACTAGGTGCGACGCGGGTGATTATTCCTGGAAACATACCTGTCGGATGCTACCCTTACATTTTGACGGAGCTACAAACGAGAGATAGAAATGCGTATGACGAGATTGGGTGTTTGAAAAGTGTGAATGATTTAATAGTCTGGAAAAACGGCCTTCTCAACGCATCCGTTGAAGATCTCAAAAAAGAGTATCCGAACGTGCTCATACTTTACAGCACCATGTATGAAGGTGTCTACCAATTTATTAAAGACAAATCGGTCATAGGCAAGCGCTCTTTACTATTCCGGCCTAATTAATTTCATCTTTCGTCCAAAAACAAAAGAAACAATAATAATAATAATACGTGCGTTTCTTTGGAAAATTTGGTGACAGGACCCTTTGGAAACAGTGCGCTGAAATCTTGCTGTGGGATTGGAGGGAAATACAACTATGATAGCAGGAGATTTTGTGGCAACTGGGGAGTCCCGGTTTGCTCTAACCCGAGCGACTACCTATTTTGGGACGGGAGGCATTTCACTGATGAGAGTAACTATGAGATTGAGCAAAGGATGATAGCGCCAGCTCTCGAGTTGTTCAATTGTACACCCCTAAGTGCCGGCTTCAGCAGAAGGACTCGTGATAATATCGTGCAGGTCGTCGACTTCCTGTCTAGCATGTGATAGATCACGAGCGCGTAGTAGCTCAAATTTGTGGTCTAACCATTTAAAAGCATGCGTGTATCAATAAGGTTGAACTACTATAGTCGTTAACCAGGAATAAAAACATGCGGCTAAATTCGAATTATTGTTTGTCATGTATGGCAACGTTCGGAAAAATTTGGTGTTGATCTCAAGTACCGTTTCAGCAATCACGATTTTTCACTTCGGAATTATCCTCTACAATGTTTTGGTTAGTTGGTTGAAAATTATTCATTAAAAAAAATTAATAATAATAATAAAAAAAAAAATGGAGTACCATTTGATCTTATATTAATTAGGACCAACGAATGACAATTTTTTTTTAAAGAAAAAAAAAAAAAAAGATCACATATATATGAAGATAATGGTATCTCGCACCTTTCCTATGCGGATGATATTATTATCTTCACTCGTGCAGATAATAATGGACTGGCCGAGCTTATGCGTATCTTGGAGCACTGTAGTTTGGTTTCCGGTCATCTTGTCAGTATGGAAAAGAGCACTTTCACCCTGGATCATCACATTGCGGACCAGTGGACCCATTGGGTCCACGAGCGCACTAGTTTTGCATGTGGAGACCTCCCCATCACCTACCTAGGTGCCCCCATGTATAAGGGCCACCTCTCGCATGACCTCTTTATAGACGTCAGATAGAGGATGATTGACACAGACACCTATCTTTTGGAGGGACGCTTGCTTTGATTAAGAGCACCAGCTGGTGCGTCCAGCGAGATGGTGTTGTCGTCAGTGGAAAAGGCGACGTTGAGAATGGACCGCCTAATGCATGAGAACAAGGTGGTGCAGGTGATGAGCTCGGCCGTGGATGTGGTAGTCGGAGAAGACCACATGTGAAGGAACTGGACCAATGGCGGCAGCACGGGACTTGACAGTCAACGTCTAAAGATGCAGAGACCAAGGGTGCAGAAGTAGCAAACGGGAACTGATCCTCATGAAATGTCACATCCCTGGAAGAATAAATGAGGTGACTGTCTACGCCATAAATTCAATATCCCTTTTGACCATGTGGATAACCAATGAAAATACCAGGTTTACCACGAGCATGAAACATATCTATGGTCTACTAGTGACATTAGCATAACAGAGACAACCAAAGCTACGTAAATGATCATAAGAAGGAACATGTCGAAAAAGAAGTTTATAAAGAGTTTTATCATGCAGAATTTATAATGGCATTCTATTCATCAAGTAGGCAGCAGTTAAGATGCATTTCCCCTAAAACTAAAGTGGCAGACTAGCATGAAACTGAAGATCTCTAGAAACATCAAGAATATGTCTATGTTTACAACCCCATTTTGTTGTCGAGTGTGTGCACAACTAGTTTGACGATCAATCCCATTTTCAACATAATATTGCAGCAAGTTATCATGGAAAAATTTAAACCATTATCTGAGCGAATGGCTTAACAGTGGTGCCAAACTGAGTGTGAACCCAATTAAAGAATAATATCAAATAGCGTTTGGTCTGAGATTTGAATTTCATAAGAATGACCCAATTGGCTGTACTGTAGTCATCGACCAAAGTAAGAAAATAACGAGCACCAGAGTCATAGGGGATGTGATAGGGACCACAAATGTCACAATGGAGAAGATCAAAAGTGTGCAAATATTTATTGGCATTACTAGGAAAAGGCAAATGTGAGTGTTTGGCCTTAGAACATGCATCACAAAAAAAAAAAAAAAAACAAAAACAAAAAAAAAAACAAAACAAAACAAAAAGACTGAATGACTGCTAGAAACAGATATTCCAGAAACTAAAGGTAGACGACAAATGGGCATGTGATCGGTCGATGGTGCCATAAACCATTGTGTTGAGTTTTGTGTGTCACAAACCTTCCCACTATCGCCAGTTCCAACACCTTCCAAATTATATAATCTATATCGTACTCTACCCACTCCAATCATAATTATAGAGTGAAACTTATGAGTTCTGTGATCAGTAGCGCTGGAATCGGCTGCCCAGGGTATCTTACCACCAGTAGAGGAGGTCGGCGATGGATATGCAGTAGAGGCGGCTGAAGAACCAGTAGGCGGCTGAAGAACCAGGAGGCGGCTGGGTGCCAAGCATGGCAAAGAGTTGTTGCAGTTTGGTCGGGGCCAGGGACTCAGCCGGCGTTGTCTCAGAGAGAGATGCAGCGTCGGAGTCAGTCGCAGTGTATTAGGCAAGAGTGGCGAGAGCAGCGCGGGTGGTAGAATTCTGGCAGGGCTTCCATCTGGCGAGGTTAGCGTGCAACTCCCAACAATTTTCAACGAGTTGATTGGTGCACTGACAATGAGTGCAATGAAGTTTGTTGGGGCCAGTGCGACGACCATCACGACGAGTACCCCGCGGTCGGGTTGAGGGGCTTTGGCAAGAAGACTTGAGGCCTCAACAACAGCATAACGATTATCAGCAATAGAGCGTTGCTTCTCGTCCTGAGCTACAAGAGCATAGGCGCGACCAAGGGAGGGCATGGGTTCGATACTGAGAATCTGAGAGCGGATAATTTTGTAGGAGTCATCGAGGCCCATGAGAAAATCAAATGCATTTTTTTCTTCTTGAAAAGCCCGTAATTTATGAACAGCACCGCAAGTGCAAACAGAAGATGGGCGGAGACTTTGCAGTTCACTTCAAACATTCTTAAGAGGTGGAAGTCTTTTCTTGTTGGAGAAGAGCAATGGTGCGCTTTAATTCATAAATCTGAGGGGTGATACCTTGAGTAAAGCGCTCAACAAAATCGTTCCAAACATCAATGGCAGATTCGATGTGAGTTGCCATAGGTTGAAGGTTTTCATGAATGGAGTCGATGAGCCAGGATTGACCATGGCATTATACCAAGGACTTAGTTATGGCCGACAAAAGAGAGGAAGAGGGCAACAGCTAGGGTTGGAGTTTAAAAAAAAAAAAAATATGTTCTGTACCATGTAAAAGTGGAGAGAAAGTTGTTAAGCTTGAATTGATATATAACTCAATGAGAATTACAAGGTATTTATACAAGCGATGAAAAAAAGTAAAGAAATCAATGAACATAATCTACATGATTTACCATATCACCTAATTTATAAAATCTAATCTACATGGTATCAACAAGATACAATTGACATATTTATCATACAAGAATATCACAAGATAATCACTCAATAATATTTGTTTCATCCGCTAGTGTGATTATATTCGGAATGTCGTGAAAATCCCCCATATACATTCATTCAGAACGTGCTGAGTCTAAGTGGCAGACTCGCGTCCTTCGGGATCCTATGTGCAAAATTACATGTTCTGTTATTAGGCTTGGTAGATTTTTATTTTACTTCCAATACAAAAATAATTAGGTCTGGATTATCCATAAATATGTTGATTATTATGGTAATGTTACATGTATTAATTGTATTTTACTATCATTTCTTATTATAACCACTGAATAGTAAATATATTTTAAAAGTTAATAACTTTTGTATTTTTTATCAGTTTACATATATAGTATATCAAATTAATCATCTTTTGATGAGTTTCGATTTAACATCCTTATTGTATGTATAAAAAAAATACATTATATTTATCTTTATAATAATAATAATAACTTTTTTTAATATTAATTAAAAAATAAAGTTATTTATCAATTAATATATTTATATTTCAAGTAGTTATATGATATAAGTTATAAAATTACTATAATATAACACATGTAAGTCTCACAAGTAACAAATATCATTCTAAATTATATAATATATATTTTTTTTGTAAAAAACTAAATAAAATTTAAAATAATTGTTCTCTAGAATAATTTTTTAACAAGCATCGGTGCAATACACGGGTGTTGTACTAGTGATTATCTGATTTATGGTTAGTTTAGTCGCATGCAGCTTCAGTTATTAAATTTCATAGTCTTATTAATTTAAATTGTAACGCCCCACTTTGATTTAAAAAAAAAAAAAAAAAAAAAAAAAAAAAAAAATTGGACTTTTCCAAAAATCAAGATTAAATTTTTTGAAATTCATTTTTCGATTTCAACACATTTATAGGCACCACCAATCATTTCATAATAAAAGTCCAAGTCATATCTGAACTAACGGGAAATTATTACCCGCTTTTCACAAGGATCTCATTATCAACGTCACATCAAGATCGTCATGTCATAGGCATGTCAACATAGCAAAACAATCCATCAAGTTCCATAACATAGAAAATAAACCAACTCATTAGGTCTAAAATCATTCCATCATGACAAAATCCAAAATATATCCAAAAAAAAATCAAAACATCATTGTTTGAAAAAGAAATAACGAGTTCAACATGCCCAGCATAAAAATACGGAAGCAAATAATATCATGAATGCAGACCTGCCACTCGTCTCGTCGTCGTCATGTCTGCCACATGCTCAACCTGGAATGGGGAGGGGAGAGGGGAACATGGGAGTGAGCACAAAATCACTTGTTCACTACTATGCACATAAATAACATATACAGACAGATACGTATGGTCGCAGCTTGAACACGAATCAATCATATATCTCATCTCCTAATCATTCATAATACTCATGTGCACATATACCATTAGCTACTGATAGTCTTTTCAAATGACTCGCCATGGTCTCGCGTCGTCACCCAAACAGTAGGAGTTCATGTCGAAGGCCTCGCCATGGGTCTCACGTCGACACAGCCTATCATTGGGACTTAGGGGGACTGCCTCTCATTAGGCCCGTATTACATCGACGAGGATAACTTTTCGACAGTCGATACAACACACATTGAAGATTACATGGTTCACATGCATACATTGATCAAACCATCCAGACAAATATAAATCACTTACGACATAGGAATTTAAATACACACACCTAGAAATCGAGGTAGAAAATTGCACACAAAAGCAGGTACGTAGGTCGAGGGCTCGGCTCTTCAAACACCTACATTTAAGCGAGATAATGCATCAATAATCTATCTTGCTGTTTGAATTTAATATAAAACCCACATTTAATAAAAATTAAG